TATGGGCACCGGTTGCTTCAATGCCACACGCACACTGGCTCACGAGAGAAAGAGTGTCCAATTCTGCACTCGCATTCGGTTTATGACGTGGCAAAATATCGATACGGAACTGACTGCATCATTGAGGCATCACGCCTGAGGGCCAGGACGACGCGCCTATGACCTTGATGAGACACGAATCAGAGCCAGAGCAAATTTGAAGACAATCAACTCGAAACATCCTTTTGCTTTTTCAAGTGGATGTTTCTGGACCATCCACCACAATCCGAGGCAGTTGCGCGCGGTCACCAATTGTGTGCAGAGATTAGTGACCGTGCAACTGCCATGGCCGGATTGTGAAATCTTTCAGAATGTAGATTTGCTCCAGCATGACATCACGACTCTTTCTGGTTTGCTCAGCCAAGACACCGAGTGGCCAGAATGCCCGCATTGATTCATTGTGGGTCGGGGCAGAGCTGCATAAGCTCGGCAACACGCATCTGGTGCCCCAGTATCATGATCTGCGGAGCCAGATGGCAAGAGCGTCTAAGCTCTCAACACAAACATCTGCCTCATCCAAAGTTTTAGCCAGGTTGACCACTTTCCAAGTCGCCCCTCGGACGCCACTCGCACGCCTCGATGGTCTCACTACCGCTGCTCGTCATTGTGATCGTGGGCCAAGTTGCCGGCGCACCGCAAGGCCTCGGCAGTGTCCTGCAAGGTGTCATCAACGACGTCAAGCACTCGGTTGCCGGCGTCCGCTACGTATTTGAAAGTCTTGTCGACGCTGAGCCTGTCACAGGTTTTTGCTCGCCCGAAGCTCTTCGCGCCTTCGACGACGCACTCGCATCCGGCGCCCTCGAGCGTCGCACGGCATATCCCACTGGCATTTTGGAGCTCACGGGTCCCACGCTGTCAACGATTGACGGACCCGCGTTCTTAAAGCGCCAAGACGCGTTCCTCAACGCCCTCTCTGGCGCAGCGCTCTCTACGTACCAGCCACGCATCCAACGGCGCATCCAGGAAGACCATGCGACGTGGGCAGCCCGGGGTAGCACCTTCTCGCTCGCGCTCTACGCCAAAACCTCGACGTTCAAAGTCTTCTTGGATGTAGTCTACGGCATTGACGACCCTGAGAAATACACGGGCCACCGTGCACAACTCGACGAATATCTCTTTTACTTGAGCAAGACGAGCAGCCGCGCCCCGTCCGACGCCGCCAAGATTCGCGAGCACCTCCTCGCGGCGATTGTACGCCCGGCCATTGCATCGAGCTTGGCTCGCGTTCGCAGCGGCGCGCCGCTGACGTGCGTCCTTGACACTGTCGTGGCGCAGGGTACTGTCTCCGAGGCCGACTTGGCCCTTGAAAGCTTTCAGCTCTTGGCGATGGGCCTGCCGGGGCTCGAAGGTCTCGTCGTGCACACGATCACGGCCATGGTGAGCCTCGACGACGTCCGCGGCCAAATGGCGACGGCACGGGACGCATACACGGCCAAGTACCCCGGCGGCGCATTTTGGAGCCATCTCGACGACCTCGACGCCGTCAACCAGTACGTGAACGAAGTGCAGCGCGTCTGCGGTGCCAGCCCGCGTCACACGTTTGCCCGTGCGACCAAGGACTTCTCGGTTCCTAGCGGCAGCGGCGCGACGGTCGCTGTGCCCAAGAACCGCCTCACAGTGGTGCTGCTCGACTGCATCAACAACGACCCCAAGCGGTGGCCGTCGCCAGAACAGTTTCAACCGGCGCGCTTTGCGGCGGCCAACACGTCAGCCTATGGATTTGCACCGTTTGCGATCGACGACCTCGTGCACCGAGCCGAGGGGCGCCGCGAAGGGCTCTCGCGCCTCATTTTGCAGTCGCACGTGGTCTCGCTGCTTGACTTTGTCGCAGTCATGGCGCCGCTGCAGTCGTTCGCACTGGGCGACGGCGTGAACCCACTGCCAATCGACTTGCTCACCACCGTGAGCTTCCGCTACGTTCCGGGCGTCGTCCAAGGTGACATAGACGCGTGGCGCCGGCTGCATCATCCCAGCGCCAAGCTCTACAACGGGTCGCTTGAGAACCCTTTGCTGGCGGCGTCGGACAAGCGTCTCGACTTTTGGACGCACTCTATGATCCAGCTCTTCAACGTCCGGTTTGAGACGTGGGTGACGCCAACGGCCGCGGCATCCATCAAGGTGCCGACAACACAAAAGAATCTACCGAAACGCACGCTCTACGGCACGTCGATCCAGATTCCCACCGAGGACGAAGACGTTGCGATCCCCAAGGTCATTCTCGAAAGCGCCAAGCTCCTCCAGGACACGGCGCCGTTTGTCGACAACTTTGACGCCAAGTGGGCGCCTGGCGAAGACATGGAGGGTTGCGTCCTGAGCAAAGTCGGTCGCATGTGGCCCCGCGTCCGTGTGCACTGGGACGACCGGTACTCGGACCGCGCGCTCGAGCTCCTCGTCTTCAACGGTCTCGGTCAGCACATGGTGCAGAAGCTCGCCACCGCGCACGACGACGGCTCGTACTACACGGTGGCGACGAACTATTTGGCGTCGATCGAAGTTCGCACCGGGTACGCGATCACGGGGGCCGACGCCTTCTTTGACAAAAACGGCAAAGTCACCAAGATCGTTCGACTCGGCAAGACGATCCGCCCCATCGATGCGTCGTGGGAGTACGTCAAAATGTGCTTTCGCTCGAGCTTGGTGAGCAAAATCACTGCTGTCGACCACCTCATTGGCCTCCACGTTACCGTTGGCAACTACATGACGACGGGGTCCCGCGAGCAGCTGCCACCGACGCACCCGCTCCGTCGCCTCATCAAACCATTCACGTTCCGCGCTGTCGCCATCAACTACGACGCATCAATTGCTCTCTTTGCGCCCAAAGGCATGCTTCACCGCGCATTCCCGTACACGGAGAAGGGGCTCAAGGACACGTGGGCCATGGCCCTCAAGAGCCTCACCTTGGAGCCGTTCCCAGTCCATCTGGCGCGACAACAAGTCGACACGATCACGCTGCCGTACCACGAAGACGGCGCCGACTACTGGGAGATCGTGCGTACGTTTGTGAGCGAGTACCTCGACTTGTACTACACGAGCAACGACGACGTGACGCACGACGTGTCGATTCAAGCGCTGTGGACGTTCCTCAACAAGCAGTTGCCGACGCCACTCGGCGTTCTGAGCTTGGACAACCTCAAGGACGTTGTCGCGCACAGCATCTTTTTGGTCACGGCCATGCATAACCACCTCGGCGGCATTGCCGAGTACGTCTCGGACCCGGCGTTCTGCCCCGTGTCGTGGGTCGAAGGCGAGCTCTCGGGACGCCCCGGGAACGCTGTGCGGGCCGCTCTCATCATGAGCGGCACTGGATTTCCGCAGCCCAACATTTTGGAAGACTTTTCCCACGTGCTTTTGGACGACGCTGCCAAGGCCGTCGCCCACCGCTTCACGGCGTCGTTGCAGGCGTTTGTACATGTCGTCGAGGCGCGCAACGCTCAGCGAATCCACCCGTATCAAGCTTTCAACCCCGCGGTCATGGACATGGCCATTGGGATTTAGAGACATCACTGTCGTGGGTGTGTCATGATGAGTTCAATAAGACTAAAATAAATACGGCTAGCACCATGTAAAAGATAACTTGTTGATCTTCTGCCAGAGTACGTCCGCAGGGAACGTCTCGATCGTGTATGCCTTCAAGTGCCCATGCAGTGCTTGAGGAACCCAGACATGTACATCGCTTCAAAGCTCGCCCCTTGGCGGTCGCCCTGGATGCGCATCTCGTGCTCGCACTCCTTGCGCGCTTCCCTCCACGCGACCACGGCGTTGAACGCGAAGCTCGCGAACTTGGGAAAGCGAGTTGCGAGACCATGAGGACGCCACGACTGGCATCGACGATATCGTCAACGCCCCGCTTTTGTCGTTTTGCTTGATCAAAACCTGTCCCCATCTTGGCTCGGTCGTCTCAAAGATGTTGGTCGACCAAACCAACGAGAGCGCGAACACCCGACAGAGAAGACCGCGAACACCAAACAGAGGACACGGTACGCGGAAAACACGGGCTCGCGCGCACCAAGCCGAACGCAAAGGGGACTACCTGGTGCCTAAGGTCTGTAGAGTCCCACATCAACGGGCTTCTTCAGTGCGACTTAACATGCAAACACACATCGCCTTGTCCCTGGCTTGTACGATTGACTTTGGTTAGGTTCACAACCACCGGCACGCAGCACAACTGCAAATAGATGGGGCCAAGAATGCTCGGCATACGGCCTTACCAGATTAGGCATCTCGCCTCAGATGTCAGAATCTAGTCCCCAAGGAGCGTGTCAATAGCTCGGTGCTTAGCTTTCGATGGCTTGAGACTATACGCGATCGGACTTGGCGTCGCGGGGTCTCGCACACTAGACGGGTGAGCGCGACGAGCAGCGACGTTCCCAAGGCGATCTGCGACCATTTTCTGAATCGCAGGTCGCAGCGAATCCCGATCGACCGCACTCTGCCGCTGCGCGCTGAGCAGCGCCATTGACGACTCTACACAGCCTCAACATATAGCCCGATGCCGACAGAGCGACCCACCTCGCCGGCTTTCTTGAATCGAGGCGGGGACTTCGCGGTGGAGCTCATCAGCGTCGCCGTACCCACGACCAGCATGATGCTCGTCGTTGTCCTCGTCGTCGTAAGTGTCCGAGGCGTCGTCGTTGAAGTCGACGAGGCGCTCCAACAGAACTTGAAAACCACGAGCGTCACTTTCAGCCTCGGTCACTGTCACTGGTGCGCCGGCGGAGCTCGTGGCGCGGTCTCCCACGAACGCTTGGGCAATGCGCTCTATGCTCGGCTTGGCGTGCGTCGACCGGCGCTGGATCGCTTCGTAGTGCGCTCGCAGCCCCGTGTACGCGAGATCGTCGCTGGACGCGCGGTGGTTGTCGAGATCCCGGTTGACCTACGACGAGCGAATAAGCTGCCAAATATCTCGGATTGGGTACGAGGTTGGCGAGCGAGTTGAAGGTCGCAATGAGATTGCCAACGTGCTCCATCGACTCGGTCACGTCCAACGACTGCCCCGACGACACGGCCGAGAGGTGCACATAGCAGGGGTCGCCCGTGACGCCCAGGAGACCCAAGTGAAACACACTGCGCTTGACGAGCTTGTCGTACGGGTACACGACGATGGTGCGATGTATGTCACTCGCGCCTGGCGCATGAACGTCTTTGGCGCTACGTACACAGTAATGAAAGATGTCTTTTCAAGCGCTAATACCGCCAGTCGTAGTCGCTGCTGCACGGCGCGGGCGTCGTCGTCGAAGCATACAACTCGGCGTTGCCGCTCGTGCAGTGCAGCTTAAAGGTCACGATCGATGTTGGGTCCTGGTTCTCATAGCTGAAGTACAGCGTCTACGCCCAGCACGATGAGAGGCTTGCAAGTGGCCAGACGATACGTACGCTGCCTTGTGCCACGGTGCCGTGCCACACGTCCCCGAGCGTCAACGCAATGTCGGCGCAGTTCTTCTCCCGCAAAAGCCGTTCGGAGCGGAACATGGAGAGCCGCCGCTTGGTGCGACGCCGAATGCGTGCGAGCTGCGCCGAGGCCTTTCGGTCTTCGGACGGCGTGTACGACATCTCGCTGTTGTGCAGCGTCGAGACGACCTCGGGCGGTGACGGCGGCGCCATGCCCACAAGCGTGTGGTGAATACCGCGCTCTTCCGTCTCGAACGCCGCAGACCACCTACACTACAGTGGAATATACGCCCCTAAAGGAGCCGCGCACCGGTGCTGGAGGTTGGACTCGAGGCGCGCAGAGAGACAAATGTCCCCGGACACGTTGCGGTCGCCGTAAAACATGGAGCGATCAACCTCGCGTTGCGTCGAGCGATTGCCATCGGCGTCTTCGTTCTCGTCTTCGTCAGACGCGTCTTCTGGCGTCCACGACACGGACGTTCGTTTCTTGTACAGCACCTACACTATAGTGTAAGCACATTGCGCGGTTGGTTGGTGTCACCTTGGCCTTGAGCTCCACGGGATGGCTAAACAGAAACGTTCGCCGGGGTGTCGGAACATGCGCGGTCGTCGCGACGACGGGCGATTCGTCGCCAACGGAGCTCGAGTTTTTGAGCTTACGACGCCGACGCCGTGCCTCTTCGGCGTCCAAGAGGTCGCTTAGATTCTCTCTCGGCGACTCGATCTCCGCGGCAGGCGTTTTGGCGCGAACCACGTCGACCTCATCGTTGTTGCCACGACGTTCCGACGCTTCAGGACTGTACGCCGAGCCCGTAGCATCGTCGTCATCGTCACTTGACGCATCGTCGTCATTGTCCATACCATCTACAACGCCAGTGGGGTCATATCGATGGCTATCGCGTACCGTCGCTGGAGCTGTCGCCGTCGTCCGAGACATCTGGCGTCGGGAGCGGCGTAAAATCAATCGCCACCGGCGCCCACGGGTACATAGCGTCAAATGCCGAGAGGCGTTGGAGCACGTCGTAGGGCTTGAAGCTGTCGCGCGTCTCTCTCTTGTCCACATCCGTGACCTATGGGGCTACGTAAATACTTGTCGTTTTCACGGCTTCGACGTACCTCCCACTCGAAGTCTTGGCGCAGCACAGCAGTCGTCGGCACAGGCGCCCGAAAGTACTGCGGCGCGTAGTCGGGATACGCAATGTCGTGCTTGCCCAGGGGTAAAATTTCCGTCGACGAAAACTCAGGGACGCGTGTGATGACCATGGGGTAGCGCTTCTTGGGCGTCGCGATCGGCTCGTCCGGAAGAAGACCTTCAATCGCAAGGAGCTCCTCCTGCATGCGAAGTAGAGCCTCGTCTTCCGTCTCTTTGGGTGCTGCCGGCTCATCCATGGACAGTCTTGCCTCGTCCGTTGCTGGTGGATCCAGTGTTTCGTGAGCCTCGGACGTGTCAGCTTCACTTTCGCTGTCGTTGCTCTCTGTTGACGTACTCTTGTCGTCCTCGTCGTTTCCATCGTCCGGCACGTCCGTATCGATTGACACAGGGTCGTTCACGAGCTCCTCTTGGGTCGATATGGCCGCAGGTGTCACGGCGCGCTCGGGCGCCACGACGGTCCCTGGCTCACGCACCGATGTTGTTTCTGGTGTCATCTCTCGAGCAGGCTCGCGGGCAGCCTCTGTGGCGTCGGCAATCGCGTCGTTGACCGTTTCTGCGGGTATGACGACGTCCTCATGCGGTTTGACCGTCTCGTTCTCGATCAAAGGTACTTCCTCGACGACCTCTTCTGCGCCAATCAAGGCCGCAACTGTTTCTTGTGTCACAAAGGTATCTCCTTCAGCGTCCCCCGGGGGCGACAAAGCGACAGACGCGGCGTCGTCGATGGTGCTGCTTTCGGTAGCGATCGCTGGTGTTTCGACAGCCGATACCTTGCGCGACGCCGGGGCGGTGACAGCTCGCCATACAACTTGAGGCTCGTCGTAGTTGACAAGTGGGGCTTCCTCGGGTGTCGGTGGCAGCTCCAAGTCGATAGCCGACCGGACGCGGTACGGCGCCGTGTCGGGAAACTGAATGTATAATGTACTCGAAGTCGGTGGCGGGGACGCTACATCCTTCACCCGGCGCTGGCGCGTCGATGGCACCGGCGTCGGATGCACTGCTTCGGGTGGTGTCCCCGTGCGATCGACAAGCTCTCGCATGAGAAGCGCAGATGCCATATCGCTCTCCTTCGTCGTCGCTGAAGCTAAATCGTGGGCGTTGACACTCTATTAGTTGTATGGGAGCGTACCTGGAACGTACGGCGGGGCTGGCAGCACCGAGTGGGGGGCGTGGCGGGCCGTCGGAACGTGCGCATGCAACTGCGCGGTTGACACTTTGGCGCGACTCGCAGGAGTCCCAACGACCATTTCGAGATCGTTGAGCTGCACGTCCGTGTTGCGGTCCAACAGCACAGTGTGCGCCCAGTCAAAGGTGTCGGTCGAAAGCTCATGGAGGCGGCGGCGCGACGAGGCCGCGTCACTCGATGGGGTGGCGTGCAACCCAATTGGTGGTCCGTCAAAGAGCTTGTGCTGGGCATACGCAACCGCGTGGCCTACGCGCAGGCTCAGCGATGGTCGACGAAGAGGCAATTACCCTCAAACGCAGCATCCGTCTCGAGCTTGTAGCCGCTGCTAAACTCTAGAATATCCGGAAACGACAAGTACAGTCGCGTCTTGATGGCCACAACGTAGAGGAGCGCAAAGAGATCCAAGTAGCACACGTGGCCGTCGTGGTCATGGTCGTGGTACCTACCGCCATGATGGCTTTGTCAGCCTCGAAATATTTACCGGTCGATGAGCCGGTGGAGCTCGTCGAGGACGTTGACATCGCACGCGGGCCATAAATTGAGCAGCCCCGTCATGATGGATATGAACATGTCGCTCTCGACACACCCGTCGCGGGCGCGGTCGCAGTAAACAAAGCAGTCGAGAAGCACGCGGAGCTTTCGGAAGGCGACGTCCAGAGCCCGGATCGACGGGTGGGACGTCGGGTCAAAGAGGTAAAACTCAGCGGCCTCGTACGCGACGCAGCTCACGCGCCACTCGCGGATCCACAGCGACAAGAATGCGTGGATCTCAACCGTACCGTCCTGCGCGGTTTCTGCAGCGCTCGTCATCGTGTGCGTCACCCACTGCGGCGGCACCTACGTCACAAGGCTGCATAGGACACGCGAGTTGAATCCGAAATGTACTTTGGGGTAAATGAGCAGTGCCTGCGTGCACGCTTGGCAGTTTGCGATCGAGACGCGCTCCCAGTGCGCATGGCGGCCGCCGTACACTAGCTCGAGCGGCTGGACCGTGTCGGCGCCTGGGAGCAGATCACCATGCTGCACCAAGCGCCGGGCATGCAGCCAGTCAAAGCCATCGAGGTACAGATGCTGGATGTGCAATGGCACGACCGGCGACGTGTCGTGCACGTTGAGAAACGCGCCAAACGTCGCTGCGATGGCGAGCGTCGACTCGAACTGGACGACGGAGAGCAAGAACCAGCAAAGTTTGTGCTCGACCACCGACGGCATGCCATACCTACAGCCCCACAAATGAGACACGTCGAGGGAGACCGCAGAGTGCACCGCTGCTGAAACCAGAGAAACGTGACGTGCAAAAGCGACGTAGTCGCTGCGTGTTGTCGCTCCATGTGCATGTTGTGGTAGATGTGATAGATGATCGCAATCACTGCCCGCTCTGTAAAACTGTCGCCGGGAGACGAGAGCGAGATGCGGCGGTGGCGACAGCTTGTACACTTGCCCTAGCAATCGCCCTTAGCTCCATACGATTGCAGGCGCACACCTCGATGCTAGCGTCCGTCTCGGGGCCCTACAACAGTCCGTCACCAAGGTACAATGAACAGCCCTCGTACGGTGGGTGTCGAAGGCCACGAGAGCACGCGGTTGCACCAGCAAACGTGCGAATGCCAATACGCAGCTAGCTCCTTTGGCAAGACGATGGGCGTTCGCAGCCCTGCTGCTCCCAGCGGCGAAACGACCGGTCGAGAGTTGTTGACCCGGGGCATGGCTGGAGTGCGCGACATCGCCGATGAGGAGGGCAGAGGCGTGGTCGACACTGGCACGTACGTCACATGCTTCTCGCCAAGAATGTTGTACGAGACAAGCGCTTTCGTGGTGCTGGACGGGGTTTCGGGCCCCGGGGTACGTTCCTGCGTCGTCGTGGGCTCGGTCGCGAATGCATACAGCGCATCGAGTATGTCCTGCCAGACGACTGGCGTCTCGAGTTGCCAGTGACGGCGGCGAAGGTACTCGGAGACTTCCTTTCCCGAGATTCTGCGCAGTGGCGTCGGCGAGAGCCCTTGCCACGTGCGGTAAACGCGCCGAAGATCTCCGGCAGCCACGTGGATCTGCATGTAGACGCATTGGCACACGAATAATGAAGAAGTCGAACCTGAGATGGATCGTCGCCCACATCTCGGTACAGCGCCTTCGCAAAGTCGTAGATCGCTTGGGTAGCACTGCCAATTTTCTAGCCACGGGTCGAGTCCCTTCGCGCTGTGATATTATGTACCGTAAGTGGCGAGTGGCTTGGGGGCTCGGACATCGAGAGACTGTCCTTGAGCGCCTCGATAGGCGGCGCCGACAAGACATCAATGTTGATCGCATCCGGCGTCAGCCCCGGCGGGGTCTCTTGCGGTAGGCGGGCGATGCTTGGCACGACAATGACCGCGTGGCTGTTGAACAACGACGGCGACGTCGGCGCGACGTCGATGACCGGTGACGCCACGGACGCTGGCGCTGTGTCTGGCGTCTGCTCTCGGCGTTCGCTATCAGGGCAGTTGCAAACATACTGCACGCGGCAGATCTCGGTCGGAAGGCCCACGACCAGGAAGTCGCCGTATGCAAAGACGCTGAGCACCGGTGCGTACAGCTCAAAATACCTACGATTAGACCGTCACATTTACGCTGGAGTGCCGAGCATCAAACCGGCGCTCGACGATCGTCCGGGCGTCCGAGTCGATGACCCACACAATGACATGGCCATCGTACGAGCTCGTGGCGAACGCGCAGTTGAAGAGAATGTTGAGTGGTGGTGGGAGGTGGCCCGGGTGCGGGACTTGCCGAATGCACGCGACGCGCCGCTCGTGCGGCTGAACCGACGCAAGGAGCCGCCACTGCACGTCCCACGTCTATTCCATTCTTGATATATATATATATTGAATGTACAACGAGGGATACCGACGCAGACGTGGCCTCGATAGCGTGGAGCTGCGAGACAATCTCAAACGCTTGCACCGCTCCGTCTTCGTAGCCGCAGATCAAGTAGAGCAACTTGGCATGCTCCGTCAAGAGGCAAGCCGAGGTCACGAGCGCTTTGCTAGGGCAACTACCGTCGTGCTGCACGACGATCGAGGGAGGGGGCGCGTGGAGGTCCCAGATTTTAAAGTGGCCCGGTCCTGCCACCGAGAGCACGCCTGCACAAACCACATTCGCGCACAAATCGTTGAAGGGCACGTACCAAAGTGACGGCTATCAACGCAAACACTCAACAGCGTGTGAACGTGATGCACGTGCGCTTGCCAGCGCCAAGTGGCTTGAAGCTCCTGAATCTTGGTGCTACGGACAACTAAGACCAGGCAAGAGTTGTGCGGTCAAGCCGTACCTGCGTCCCGAAGTCCGCCAGCCATACAGCCAGCCATCGCTCGTGCCCGCAAGCAGCATCGTGGGTGCGTCTACTCTGGTTCTACATTTCTGAGACGCATCGGAAGCAGGCATACCCGTGTGCGAGGCGCTTGCAAGGCGCGCTTTGGAGCGCAGCTTCCCACCCCACGCACTGTCGCCTTCGCGCACTGCAACGTGCGTCGGTAGCGCAAGCATAAGAAGCACCGAGATGGGAGTATTCAGCTGCGGGTCCTGAAAAAGCCCGATGTACCGCGCGCTGGTTTGGTCGTAGGCCTGGATAAGACCGTTGCTAAAGCCGATCAGTACAAACGACAGGCAGAGGCTAATGCTTGTCAAGCACGCTGACGTCACGATCGGCGCAAGGACCTAGGTACGCTCTGCGGCAATCTTTGCACATCGGATCGAGTGCGTACGTGAGCGACGGTGGCTGTCGCGGGTGCCGCCAGCGAGAAGAGATACGCCGTGTCTTTCGATGTCCACCCGAGCACGACCGGCTTGGCATCGATGACCGCCATGTCGAGACGACTCAGCGATAGGCGAGGCTCGAGCACGTAAAGCGACTCGGCGAGGCTCTGCACCTTGAGCACGTGGACCGTGTTTTGGACCGGAACGAGAAAAAGGTGCTCGACCGAGTGCCCCATGTCGACTTGCACAGCGAGACCTACGTATCTACGTCGACGGCCTTGCAACCCAAACGCATACCAAAGGCGCGCGCCGTCTTGCTCGTCACGGGGGTATGCACATGAGGGTCAAAGGCTCCGAGCAAGTCAAAGTACACATTGAGCTCGGCTAAGTGTCGCGTTCGTACCCACAGCAGCGCCAAGCACGGAAGCGTACCGCTTGTGGGCGCTTCGGCGCGAAACCGGAATTGTTGCACGGAGCGGTCGCTGTGAATAGTAAACAAGTCCAGCTCGAGCTCCGAAGGCGAATTCGTCGACGCCAACGGCACTGGCACGATATCGACGACACTCGCACCGGGCAGCGGCGCGCCGCCCATGCATCGGAATGGGTTTGGGGAGCCAACGGCGTAGCTACAGAGCGCGGCAATGATAGCCACGTTTTGAGTCGAGACGTACAGCTTGCTGTGTGTGAAGCTGGCGTTCCACAAGTTCATGGAGCCGTCGGCGTGCAGAGTGACGAGCCAGTCGCCGCAGCTACACAGAACCTACGTTGATCGATCCCACTCGGCAGTATGGACGCACAGCGTGAGGAGCACGAGCTGCAGCGCATCGTCAAACCCATTGTGAATCTACACTCCGAGATCAAGCTCCAGATCGTTGTCACACGTCACCTTGAGGATTTGACGCGACGCGCGGTCCCACACGATGAGCGACGACCGACGTCGGGGCGCGGCGTCGCTTGTTGGAGGAAGCAAGATACCATACGCGCGCGCACTGCTCATGCTGACCATGGCCACCTGATGGACACGTTGGTCGGCGAAACCAGCGAAAAGCTACCTCGTCAGCAACGCTTGTAAGCGTCGCGCGCGTCTCGACGAGCAAGCTCGAGGCGCCTGCGATCGTCAGACGCGCAATGTTCCAGATGTCGATCGTCGTCATCGGTGGCGCTTGCTCACTTGTGATGCGTGTGACGAGAAGGAGGTCGTCGCTGGCCATCGCTCCGAGCGTCACGACTGTGGCAGGAGTACCGGGGAACTCAAAGGCGAGGTTGAGGGACGCAGGCTCGAGGACAAGCATCCCCGAGAGCGCCTACTGCAACATGAGGAAATAGCGTTGACGTCTTGATACCTGGGCGTAGACACAAACGTAGGCGTCAGCGCTGGGCGCGTACCAGAGCTGCATCCGAAGCGCGGCCTTGGATTTCGCGAGGGCGCCAAAGAGCACGACCTTGCGCAGCTCCCGCTTGAGCGAGAAGAGCCGCAAGCTGTGTTCCGTGCGCACCTCGGTCGCGCCAAGGGGCAAGCCCACGACGACGCGGGCCGTGACGTAGAGACACACGTGGTGGCGGCGGCTATCGTACGCGGCGGCTTGCACGACGACGTCGCTGCCGCAGAGAAGCGCGTGTCGGTGCTGTAGCGTCTCGTGCTGGTTGGCCGCGTACACCATCGCGCCTCCGGAAACGAAACTCCCAAAGACTAACCCCAACCCTGGGCACCAGCGTTGAGCACTCTGTTGCTCGGTGCGCTCAACGACATATGCAGAAACGCAGCGTCGACGCCCACGCGTCACACATCCTGCCCTGTAGCTTGCATCTCTGCCGACCAAAGCAAATCGCAGCGAGAGCTTGCACAGCTGAGCGCACTCGGTCCAATCACAAACCAGAGACTTCAATATTTACACGCACACGAGCGGGCTCAAGTTGGCGCGTGCACACGGCCTCGCTTCCCACGCAGCATGAGCACCTCTTGCTTGAGCGCATCGAGTTCGCGCGCTTGGAGCTTGACGAGCTCGACGAGCTTCTTGCGCTCCGTCATCTCCTTCTCCAAGCCGACGCTGTCGTCGACGAGCGAGTGCTGGACGTCAGCCGTGTTGAGGTCTGCCTCGAGGCTGAACTGGCGCTCGCTCAGCGCCGCGATTTCTGTTAGCAGCCGCGTGTTGTCTTCGGTCGCGCGCAGAATCTCGAGCTTGAGCCGCTGCTGCTCGGCTACCGTATCAAGTTGATACATGGCTGCATTAGCAACACGAACCTCGCGTCGCACTCGCGTGCTTTTCGCCGTGGAGCTCTTTCGTGCGCACTTTGGATTGCAGCTCGTGGAGGTTGCCCGTGTCGCAGGCTTTGTCGAGCACGTCAATGTCGATGAGCTGGCCGAACTTGAGCAGCTGCAACTGCTCGCACTTGTCTCGCACGGCAGCAATCACGTCGTGCTGGCGCGCCTTGTCGCGCGAGAGCTGGCTTTGTTGCTTGTGGAGGTCTTTAAACACCTGGCGCAGCGCCTTGTTCTCGTCCTGGAGACTCCGAATGCGGGCGACGAGCCGCTGGATCGCACTCTGCGTAAAGATGAGTCCGTTCTCAATGGTCTCTGGCAGCACGAGCTGCGTGGACTCGGCGCTCATGCCCTCTGCAACCAAACGTTATAAGCGCTACTCGACGCTAAAGCATGTACCCGGGACAACCGCCGGCTGCATGCAGCGCAGTTGCTGCTTGCTCAATGCGACGATCACGTCGAGCTCATTGAAGCGCATCTGCTTCTCCGTTTGAAATGCCTGGATGTCTTGCTCCGTCGCCGTGAGCTCCTTGTCGATTTGGCGTTGTTTCTAACCGCAAAACATGCAACAGCAAGAGGGTGGTGGTTTGCTCTACCTGCGTCTGTCGGTCCGTCGCGCGCTTGAGTTCGTCGATGGCCTTGACCACGTCTCCCGTCGCGTCGTCAATGTCGGCCTTCTTCTCGCGCAGCGCCAGCACCTTCTCGTAGAGGCTGACGTCGCAGCCCGCGGGACACGTTTCGTCTTCGTTGCCGCCATCGTCGTCGTCGTCGTCACTGTTGTACTCGTCGTCGTCGTCATCGTCGTCGTCATCGTCGTCTCCGCCATCGTCATCGTTGGCCCGTTTCTTGGCGCGCTTGAGCCGCTTCCGGAAGATCTTTTGCAGCACGGTAAAGCTTGGGTGCAGGGAGCCAACGAGGTTGACAAAGTCGTTTTGAATCGACGCTTCGCTGGCTTGCCACTCGTCTAGCTCCTTGCGCTTCGTGAGCAGTTGGTCGCTGCACTCGGTCAAGTCTTTGACCACCTGGGCCTTGTCCGCCCTACACTCGCCTCCGTGGCATCACTCGAGACGATGCTGATCGAACGTACTTGCACTTTTCGAGCTTGGAGACTAGGAGCGTCTCCTTCGACTCGAACTGCTCGAGCAAAACGAGCTCGCCAAGGCGCGTCAGCAGCTTGATCTCGCCCTTCTTGAGCGCAATGTCGAGTTTCATTTTCTCCCGGCGGAGGCGGTAGATAGCATCGTCGAACGTCGCAATGGCGTGCGCGACCTTGTGCTTGAGGTCGTCGATCTGCATCTGCACTTGGGTCGCTCTCACGCGGCGCTCTTCGTCCTCGAGCGGCGAGAGCGCGTACGTATCGCTCGTTTCCATCGGCGGAAGCTCGAGCAACGGGTGCAAAGCGTGCTCCTTGGGCGATGCCGCAGCGTCGTGGGTCAGCGCCGAAAGCGTTGCCTTGCTCACAGTCCCCTTCTTCTGGTACTCGTCAATGTGCGCGTCGAGCACGCGTTCGCGCTGCTCCGGCCACTCGCGCAGGTCCAAGACGGGCTCAAAGACGCGGCTCGGTGGACCAACCCTACCCCGCGTGAGATGTCGCATGCGGTCGCATCGCGTACTTTTGAGACGCTTCGAGCGCGTGCAGGAGCAAATTGTCCTCTTGGATCTGCTCCATGAGTCGGTGCTTGAGCTCCCGGAGCTCGAGCACCTTGGCGTTGAAGGTCATCGCAATGTCGTACATCTTCTCCTCGAGGAGCGCCATCTGCTTGCGCTTCTTCATCGCATTCACCTACGCGCCATGATATGGTAGCCAAGGCGGCGAGAGAGAGGAGAGCGCGTACGCGCTGGTCTTCGGGCACAACGTACGACGCACTCGTCTTGAGCTTGTAGTCCTCCATGTGCGTCGACGCAAACGCAATGGCCGCCACGTCGCGCGGGTCGTCGGCGTCTTCCCGCGGCTTTTTTGTTTCCCAGGCCTGAATGCGCGCCTTTCGCTGGGCGCGCATCATCTTGCGGTACTCGAAGCGGTGGGCAGATGCGCCGTCGCCAGCGCCGTCAACGACCGCCTCCTCGACGACCCGCGTCCGTCCGTCCTCGGCCGCCACCTTTGGGGTATGGATGAAGTCCAGTACCGTGCGCGTTTCTTTGCCGACAGACTCTACGCGCATAGGCATCAAGGTACCGAGAGACTTGCACTCGTACGGTTCGATGCGGCCTCTTGGAGCTCCAAGTGGATGAGTCGGAGGCGGTCCGCGAGCACCTCTGGCATGCGCATGGTCCGAAACGACTGCACGTGCAGGCCGTTGGCAAAGCCGTGGAGCGTAATGAGCTCGACCGCGAGGCCGCCGACGTACTTGCGGCGCAATTTGGCGAGCAGGAGCTCGCTCTGCTCGTATGCGTACGCCATTTCCTTGCGCACCTCGTCGCACTGCTTGTCCCCGGCGGCCACGAGCATCGCGCCATACTCGGGGTCGATGTTCCACTGGGCTGGCTCGAGCCGCGCCGTCTACGCCATGACGTTAAATATGTAAATGACTATCGTACGTACTGGCTCGTGGGAGCTGTCGAGCAACTGCAGCTGGCGAAACTCATCTTGCATCTCGGCAATGATGGCTCGTGTCCTACGCACGATGAAGAGGCGCGAGCAGAGGCACTGGCGCGTACCGGTTCTTCTTGGCCAAGGCGCTATTGGCGCGGATGTCGGCCTCGAGCTTGAGCTTGGCGTCTTGGATCGTGTACGCTTCGCTGTTGGTGATGTCGGGCACTTCCTTGCGCGTCACGGGGACTTCAAGGGACAGGTCGACAGCGGCCACAGGCAAGAAGGGCGATTCGTCCGGCGCCTCGGTGCTGAGCTGCCGCACGACGCCGCCAAGCACCTCAATGTCGCCGATCGCAATGCCATCGAGGAATGTACTGTACGCGACGGCGCCCGCGTACACTGGGTTGTTGACCCAAAGGTTGGCTTCGTTGCCGTCGTTCCGGAGCACTTCGTTCTTGGCCGCCAACTGGTCGTGCGCGGTTTGGTAGATCTTTCTCGCCTCGGCGAGTTTGCGTGCGTAGCGCTCCAGCATGGTCACGGCCGTCTCGGCCACCTGCGCAGCGTTGAAGCCAAACTCCAGCGACAAGTTGTACCTTCTCGGTCAGTACGCGCACGACGACGAGCTGTCCGTCCGAGCCGCCCGACACAACGAACGCGTCGTCGAACGACATGGCGATTCCCGGCGTTCCATGCGCCGCCTACCGCTTGCTTTGGAGAGCTGAAGAAAGGTTAATACCACGCACCTCGTCGTGCATGGCCAACGTCAGCGATGCCAGCGGCGCGACGGACGACCGAAGGTGGACCTTGCCGTTCGAGTTGCCCGCGAGAAGGAACCGCTGGCTGTGCGATCGCGTCATCGTGTGCACGAGTCCCGACGGATCGTCCGGAAACACGTCGATCGCAAACGGTTTGGTCCAGTCGCACTTGTACGTGAACCCCACGTGCGGACCCGCCACCGTCACCTACTCACGTCTCGAGACCCTTGTCTAACACTTTGTCGTACCAGGAAACACGATGGGGACGCACAGCAGTACATAGCGGCAACCACCACCGGTGTCGCGTCGGGCGCGACCTCGACTTCGCCAAAGCCAATGCTTGCGCTCACGGGGCACGGCGACACGTTGTATCCGGACGGCTTGTCGGTCGCGGGCTCTACGCAAGCTGCGCTACGCTACAACCCAAGTTTGTGAGACGCACCGTTGGCCATGGCGCTGAGCTCGGCCGTCGAGAGCTTCCGCACGCGTCGAAACGCATACTGTTTGAGCCGGACGTCGAGCTCGTACGTCTGTCGCTCGTCGTCATGGAGATTGGGCACGTCGATCTCTCTACACTCGTGCGTGAGCTCGCAAAAGGCCGGTGAGGGCATACCCAACGACGCCGTCGCGGCTCGTGAGCAAGATCGCTCTCGAATCCAAGCGCCAGCTGAGGTGTCGGACGCTTACGTTTGGGACAAAGCCCACGGGCTCGTACTTGTGCAAACTATTCCACGTAACGTTATCGTATGCGAGCAAAGTGCGAAGTGCAAGTACCTTGGGCAGTGAAAGATGAAGAGCGTGTTGTCGGCGCTGCCGGACGCAAAGTACTGGCCGTTGGGAGAATACGCCATGCACGAGATGGGCTGGTTGTGCGGCTTGAAGACGTATGCGCGGTGCCAACTACTCATACGTTAATGGACGCCAGCCAAGCGATAGCGTTGACTACCTCGACGGTCCGCGCTCGAGGACGCGGATGACGCCGTCAGCGAACGCGACGGCCACTGTCTTGCCTTGGGGGTCGTGCGACGCTGGGGCGTACGTCAGACTCGTGGCGCCCATATTGAAGCGCATCGAAAAGAGCGGCGTCGCGGTCGTGTAGTCCCAGCACAGGACGTTGCCGTCGACGCCCGCGGTCGCACACGTGTGCTCGCAGGGCGACGTGCCCACGCCGGCAATCGCCCCCGCGTGGCATTCGAGCAGCGTCGTCACCTAGTGTGGCTAAGCTATCCACTTCAAGCCCGGCGAACGTACGAGTTTTGTGTCCATGTCCAAGCGGTGCACTACGCCGTGGCCGTCCTGGATGAGATAATGCGACTCGCCGCGCAAGAGACAGCGAATGTCGGCGGGCGACGCCACGTGGTGCAGCGTCTTGGTCGTGATATGGACGGCGTCGATCGGCGTCACCTCTGCGACGGTGTCGTCTTCCTGGACGTCGGCTTGGTCGATGGCGCTAAAAGGCCACCACTTGATGGCACCGTCGCTGCCTACACTCGGTCGTCAGCACAAATGCAAGCCAATCAAGCGTCCACCTGCCGTCACGATGCACTGCGTGTCAGGCTCGAACAGTACGACGTTGATGGCGCCGCGGTGCGCGCGCTCGCGGTTCGACGTGACAATCTCGCACTTGATAAAGTTGCCTACGCGTTTCTGAGTGCGCGCGCTCCCGCCGCGAAATCTGGGTACCGTCCCAAAGCAAAAGCGCGCCGCGTTCCGTGGAGCTGAGCACCTTCTTGTCCGGAAGGACGCAGAAGGCTTCAATGTCGCTGAGCTCCGACTTGCCAAACTTGCCAATGTCGCCTTGCAGCTTGAGGCCCGTGAACGTCGACGCCATCTTCCAGAACCGGACGTGGCCCGTCCCGCTCGTCGTTAGAAACCCGTTGTCGTGGGGCGCAAACTGCACGTTGAAGACTTCTTGGCCAAACGCCTTGCAGCGCAAGATCGTCTGCTCCAAGCGCCAGTTCCAGACGGTGAGGAGAAAGTCGGGTGCGCTGCCGACCGACGCGAGCTTGCTCCCGTCTTGGCTACCCATGCACCAGACATGCAATCGCTACCACCAAACGAGGACGACGCTACCTGAAGCGAAGGCTGCTATATGCACGCTCGGTGCCATTGCGCAAGACGCGGTAGAGCTTCAAGCTCGGGTACGCGTAGACGCAAATGTTGGGCTTGGGCCCTTTTTCGCCGACGGCAAAGAAGGCGCGGCGCGGATGCACTGCGATCGCGCCAACGCCCGCGCCGCTGTAGCCAAAGACATAAGTGCGCTCCATCGTCGATGTATCTAAACCAACAACATGACGCATGAAGCTTGGAACGATCTTGGGACCGCACCGAGGAGCTGCGCCGTGTTGCCGGCGGCCGTGAGCACGACCGTCTCGTCGACGTACAACATGTTGTGGCGCTTCCGCGTGTCAAACCCGCGCATGGCCACAAAGGCAAAGAGGTCGCGGGGCATGTCGCCATGCATCTGAGGCCGGACGAGGTCCTCGGGGCCATAGAAGAAGTCGTCCTCGAGTTGATCCGCCTGCGTCGGATCGACGTCCATGCTCCGACTGCGACCTTTCAGAAACCAAAGAAGATTTGCGGCTTTTTTAATAAAATGATATCGTATTTTAACGCCGAGCTTGCGGGCGCAAGTCGTCGAGCTCGGGTAAGACGCTGTCGAGCGAGACGCCGTCGCTGCCCGTCGAGTATCGCCGCTCGCTGCCTGCGGGCGGGCCGTGCTCCGATTCTGCGTCCGAGTGGCGACGCGTCCGTGGCCGCACCCGGCGGGCGTGCAACTTGAGTACGAGGTCCACGAGTTCGGACTTCTCGACAACCGTGCTTAACAGGGTATTGTCAATGCCGCCGTCGTTGAGCATCTGCTTGAGCTCCTTCACGCTCAAACTTGCAATGTCGTCGGCGCAAAGATCGGGCTCCAGCAGCTCGAGCGGCGACAGGACGTCGTCCGTCTCGTTCAGAGGCGGCAAGGGCAGCTCGCCGCACATGACGCGGCAAAAGTTGATGGCTTCGTGGTAGAAAGCCGCGGGTCGCACCGAGTTGTGGCCGCCGAGAAACGAAAAGCGCTGCTTTGGGCCCTTGTGCGCTTGGAAAAGCAAGTCGACGTGCTTGGGCGACACGAGTTCGTCCTGGTCGCCGATCGCAAAGAAGGCGGGCGCCTTGCACCTACCGCAGCGTATTGGTGCTCGCCGTGCACGAAGAAGAGATAGTACTTGTCCATGGACGCGATCGGGTTGAGCTTGAACATGTCAAACTTGGCGCGACGCTTTATGTCTCGCCGCAATACGCGCATCACAAGCGCGACGGCAATCTACACGAACGACGGGATCAACCTTGCGGAACGAATGCGAGAGGGGCAGTAGTACCTTGGGCACGTTGAGCTTGCCTTCATCGACGAGGTCGAGAGCGAGTTGTTTCAAGCTGGAGAAAGGACTGTCGAGCACGAGCGCCGTGATGTTGGTGTCGCTCTGGCTGCATAGTAGCGCAGCAACCGCGCCCATACTGCGGCCCCAGAGAATAACGCTAGCCCAGTACACGTAGAGTTGTGCGATGCGTGCAAGCGTACGTACTTGGAGACTTCGCCCGAGTCGCGGAGATGCGTAAGGACCACATCAATGTCCCGCTTCTCGTGGTATCCGAGAGAGACGTACTTGCCCTAGACAGCGGTGAGGGCACACCGATAGCGCGCGACGGCGTACCTCTGACATGCCGGACCCGCTAAAGTCGAGTGCAAAGACGGTGAAGCCCGCGGCGAGGCCGTGGAATAGGATCTCCATGCAGCCGAGACGGCACGAGCTGTTGCCATGCAACACGACGATGCAAGGCGCCGGCTTATTCTCGCTTGTCTGAGGCACCTTGCGCTTCCACCAACTGCACTCGATTGCAAGGCCTTTCTCGTTCCGCAGCGTGAGATCCTGGCGCGCTACGACGAGGTTGTGGGCCAGGAGGCACGTCGTCGGCCCGAGGTCGTCCATCGTGTACGTGGAACGCTGCGGACGGATGACCGTGCGCACGAGGCTATCGTATGCGAACTTGACCGTCGCCCAGATGCCTGGAGGCGGCTGCGGCGGCTCGGCCTCTACACGCGCCTGAGGCCATGTCCAGGCGGCGTCGCCCTCGTACCTCCTCGGTCGTCCTGCATCCCGTGTCGGTTTGTACGGTTAATGACCACGTCAAACAGCGGTTTTAAACCGGTGTATCCGGATGGACGCGCCGGCATACAATTAGCAAGCCACATGACGTTGTTCAAGTTGAACCCAGGCCGAGCGTTAAACTCTGCGCGGTGACGATACACGCCACTGATAGTCTTCATCGCACGCGGCTAGCACGCTCGAACGACAAGGGTACGGCTGAAGGCGATACCATCGAGGATCCAACCTCTGATGCTCAGAGGAGTGGCCTTTCTGGCTGGGAATTGCAGTGTGTACTGGCTGGGCGCTAGCCACGCAGTCCGGAATAGCACTCATACTGCTTGCATATTGCCCTCGAGAGAGTTCGCGCTCCGTGTAGGAGAAGGTACTGGTGATTGCAGCCAGGGATACTTCTTACCCCTCGAGTGAGGTTCTGTGTTCGGTTGCGTCGTGGGGTCGTCAATTGCATCTCTGTGAGGTCGACAAGACCCCGTTGAGATCATCAGTTCCCATTCAGATACGTCGATGCAGTCATTCACCAGCCCAACAGCCAGCAGCTTTGCTGCCATCCCAGCCAGCTCCATTCTGGCCTTGCGTTCAGCAGCTGCGGTTGCAAAGCCAAGTGCAGCCGTCGGGCGAGATCGGGCACGATCGGAAGCTTGTGCCCTCCACATGCAAGGCAAGCGGCCGAGGAAAGTTCAGAAATGTGCGCATCTCGAGGCACTTACGTAGGAGGATCGCCTCTCCATTCGCACGGAATGGACTTAGGTAATGGTCATAAAGTGTACTGCGCTGCAGAGCTGCTCTGCAGCATGACGCAACACTGCAGCCGACTGGTAGCAGATCGCTGCCGCAGCGTTTGACCATGTCGCGCACTCCTGCGCCTCTAGTTCTTAGACACTGATACATTGGCTTGTCTAGCGAGGAACTCTCTGCACATTAGGCTAGTGCCCACTAAATTGCTTCATGCTGAAGGCCACCGATGGCATTGCCTGCTTTGCTGTGGTGGCGCCACGATGGAGGGACCAGTTCCGCCTGGAATTACTCACAGGCGACTAGTTGAGACACTTCTGAGAGGGATGCCGTCGACAGGGAAACTCCCTCAGATCAACGGACGCGGGCTATAGAGAGTCGAAGCATGTCGCACGCGTAGAAAATCCAAGATCGCGGGCGCCTTTCGGAAATGCGTGACGCTTCGGTGTCGGTCGTGTCCTTGGCGCCACGGCAATTTGCCTCTGGTCCACGCTATAGACGTACAATGCACTGGCTTTCGAAAGCTTCTACTCGACCGTTCGTGCCCACGTTGTCTCTGCGTGCAACTAGACACCTCTCTTGCCCGGTCAACTCTGTGGCGTAAAGATAGTTGGTGGGGGTGCAGCTTCTGGGTAGGCACGTTCGTCGCACCAGGCCATGCAGCGATTGATGCAGCAGCAGCAAATCTTGCGGGCAAATGAAGCAGCAAATTTCTGCATGATTATGGCTTGATGCCGACGCTGTCACCGTGTCGGCGCCAGCTGGACGCCGTCACGCTTCTCGCAAGGCGCATCTCCAGTGTCTCTTATTGCACCGAGCGTCATCGAGCGTGCAGCGGTGGGCCAACGAAGAGACGAAGGCGAGGCTGGTCGTCATGGTGCTGTCGTCGGTGGTGGTGCCGGTGGTTGTCGACAGATCTTGGAGGCGCAACAAAATCGGTCTGTAGCGTCGCGTCGGTTGTGCTAAGGGAGTGACCTTCAACAATGCGATGCTGGTGATATATTAATATGCAGATGCTGCCGATCACATACAGTAACGCAATCATTTTAAAACGACATGAAAAAATGGAATCCAATAAAATCCGCGACCGGAGAATTATCGCTCGGGCTGCCACCAAATTATTATTAATAATTGCCCCGGAGCTGCCCAGGTCCAGCGCAACAGCAACACCGCGCAGGACTCGCTGGACAACGACGACGACGCCGACGACGAGATGGGCCAGACGTGGAGCACCCAGAAGGACGACTACTACGTCGGTAGCACGTCGCCGTACACGATGAACAGCTTCAGCACGGGCGCCTTGAGCCACGACCGCAAGACCGATGTCATCTACGACACGGACGACCACGGCGAAGAGACGCTCGTCATTGGAGCCCGCGCCAACCTCCCTTTGCTCGACATCAAAGGCAAGAAGCAGAAGCAAAGCGATCTGCTCAAGCGCATGGGCCTTGTCGTACGCACGAGCGGCAGTCGCCTCACACGGTCCGCGTCGGTCGTAATAACAGATGTGGTGCGCCTCGATGGCGCCAAGCTCGTGCCTCGCAACAAAACGTACGGGTCGGCGCCGGCCAACTGGCCGCCATCGAGTGTGAAAGGGCCCGCGGAAGCTAGCGGCGCGCTTCGCATCGGTGACTCTATCTATTCGATCAACGGCGTCAAAGTCGTGAACAAGTCGCGCAGCCAAGTGATACGGCTCATTGCGGAAGCATCGACGCACCCGCTGGTGCTCACCTTCCGCCACGGCGACGCGATGGCTCAAGTACAATGGGACCAAGAGCTGTGCCTGGATCCGCCCGAGGGCGAGTACAAGGAGCCCGAGAACGAGTGGGGCCCAGCCCAGCCGCCCAAGGTCGGCGGCTCGGTCTCAATCTAACGACGAGGCGACGTGTGGATAGTTTTAGTAGATGATTGTGGATTTATAACAACAAGCTTATCATTAGTTATCATTCCTACCGCGCGTCGAGCTGGAGCGCCTGCTTGATGTAGTCGAACGACCCAAACGTGATGCCCACCATGGGGATGACCTTGAGCAGCTCGGGCGCGAGGCCGCGGTAGAAACCTCGCACACCTTGCTCTGCGTACAGCGCACGCGTGATCTCCATGGCCGACATGGCCCTCCCGCCTCCGTGGATGCCTGAGATCTGCATGCGCCGGCGAATCACGTCGACGGGAAACGTAATGCTGGACGACACGATGCCCGAGACGCCGCCGCAGAGAAGGGTGTCGATAACGCCGAGCGACGTGTTCACGGACGCGTCCTCGTTCTTGCTGCTGCGGTACACGAGCGCCATCTCCTTGAGAGCCTCGAACATGGTAAAGTTCACGGCCATGTTGGGCACGGTCACGAGGAGCGTCGTCGAGAGGCCGCGGTAGAGCCCACGTGTGCCCTCTTCCGCGCGAATGCGATGGAACGCGTGCGAGATACCGCGGTACCGAATGTCCTTGTCGAGCTGCGTGATAAGGCGCGTGCGAATGAGATCGATGGGGTAGCAGACGCTGGTCGAAGTTGCGGCTGCAATCGCGCCCGAAAGAAAGCTGATGGACATCTGCCCCGACTGCGACGACGCCTCGCCAAACGACCCCTTCATGAGCTCGTACGTGAAAAAGTTGACGGCCGAGTACGGAAACCGGTGCACCACACTCGCGCCGTTGCCTTTCCAGAGCGACACGACGCCTTCGTTGCGGACGACCTAGGATACACCATGAACAATGGTCGCGACGCATCTGTGCTACCTTCATGAAGGCCTGCGGCAACGAGTCCGAGAACTTGCCCTTGTGCGTCGCAGAGACCATGCTGTGGACCTGGAAGAGGATTGTAAGGCGGCTCAATGGCGCGGTGCAAGTCTTCCCAACGCTGCCCGCGACGCCACCGGCAAAGAGCACGGTGGCCTGCTTGGCGATCTCGTCCAGCAAGCGGCGCTGGTGGTCGACGTCGACGGTCTCCGTGCACACATCGCCGGCGTCGCCGAAGCTCACGGCGCCGGTCGTGTGGCGGCGAAGGAGCTGAGGCGTCACCGCGTCGCCTTGGGGCGGAGGACCGGTCATGGGCCTGACGACGAAGATTCGCTCGGCTTAGCAAGTCCCACCACTCGATGGTCGCACTGGTGACTTTCCGCACCTTTTTCACGAATTCGGTGCGTATTAGGGAATGGGTGCGCGAGCGACGTCATCCGGATAGTAGACAAGAGCGACACACACAATTGACACGGGAAGCAAATGTAAAGATACGAACGAACTCAGTGACAAAAACCCGGACGCGCAGCAGCAGCAGCATGGACGCCCGGCAAACGACGCCGCGAGGTCCCGAGTGGCGCTACTTTGGCGAGCCCATGGCGCCGATAGCTCCAGCCTTCCTGTCGCTGGCGAAGCGGCCAAAGATGATCCCTCTCGTTCCTTGCGCCTTTTGCGGCCTCCACGTCCCCGCACGGTCCAACTCGCTGCGCCGCCACTTGCGGGAATGCGCCGCTTGCAGCGACGACGCGCGCCTCTGCTGTACGCAACTCTTTTTCTCGCGTCCGTTTCTTTCAACACGTACGACGTAGGTATCAAGCAGCCGCCATCGTCCGTTGTGATCTCGGCCCCGCCCATGCCCGACGCGCCCCACGAACGATCGCTCAAGGCCACGCAGCGCCGCCTCAAGAACCGGCTCGCGTGCCGTGAGAACCGAAAGAAGAAGAAGGAGCTGCGCGAGAACCTCAAGGGCGAGGTCGCCGCGCTCTGTGCCAACAACGCGACGCTCCACGGCGAGATCAACGCCCTCTTGGGCTTTGAGGAGCCCATTCTGCTGCCAGCGCTCGATTTATCTCCGGCAAGTCCCAACACGGGCGCGACGACGAGCGCTAGCGAGCTCTACTGGAAAGCAGCCCTCTTTTTTGCCCGCTACAAGCCGGGGGGTGCCGTACCGCGTCACGACACCCCCGAAGGCAGCTTCTACAGCGCACAGACATGCACCGTGTCCGGCGACCCCGGCAGTTTGAGCGCCCAGCTGACCATGCCAGGTCCGCTTGAGGCCATCTGGGACATGAAGTCGCTGCTCATCAACGACATCGCTGTCGCCGAGCCCGAGCTGCCGACGGAGCTCCCAACTGGCGACGTACGTTGCGTCGTCATACTTCCGTGAGGCGTAACGATGGCTTTCGTAGATGCAACTCGTGCTCCTTGAGCGTGGTCAGATTCGTCACGTCCGCTTGCTCCACCGCCTCTTCAACGCCGCGACGGTTGCCCGCATCGAAGCCGCAGGTGGTGCAGCGGAAGCGGTGGGCGAGTTTACGTGGCGCATTATCTGCTCGTGCGACGCCGTCCGTGCGCGCTCCATGCAAATATCGCTGCTGCGGTATCGTACACTTAGTGTGCACTGACTCTAGTAAAAAGATACAAATGAAAAAGCCGACCAACCTCGAAATGCCTTTGCCACAAAATGCCAGTGCATTACTCCCTTCCCACGTGAAGTACTTTGCTCAGCGTCCATGTTGGGCAGGTTAGTCTAGCACCTGATCTGGATCTACGTCACGACTACGAGTGACCGCGGGAACAAGGACGTTTATGATGTTTCTTAGTGGGTTAACGCTAGCGAGCGTGGACTATAGTCTTGTCTTGTTGAATATGCGTTCGACGTGGTCGATCGTAGCCGTGTGTTAAGACGACCTGCGGCGAGATGGGTCATTTGTGTACGCGACTACTTGCGCGTGAAGCGGCTCGTGATCGACTGCATGATGCCGCCCTTCGCGGCCTTCTCGGCCTTCTTGAGCGCGTCCTTGATCGACTTGCGGTCCAGCGATTGGTGGAAGCTCTTGAGATCTTGCTTGAGCGTCGCGATCGTCGACTCTTTGACGTCGTCAAACATCTTTTCAAGCGGACACCCGAGGCACTGCATGACGTTCTTGCGCGCCGCGTTCGTGCAAGAGACCTCGTACGGCGCCGATGGCATGACAAAGTTGCGGAAAATGCTCCACGCCTTGTTCTTGATCGCCTCCATGTTCTTCGTCTTGGCGAGCTCCTCAAACACAATGATGGCGCGCACGCACTTGAGGTTCTCGGCGTTGAACTCTATATCGTGAGGGTTACGCGCGTGGTCGTCAGATTCTCTCAAGGGACGTACTTTTCTGCAGGTACGCGTGCATTTCGGGAAAGAGGTACATGTCGGCGAGGATTTCGTCAATCGTATACTCGGCCGAGTCGATGGTTGCCACTTTGATGAGGATGTCCGTAGGCGGCGTGAGCACGTACTCCTCAAACGATTCGGGCGCCTCCGAGAGGCGCGTAATGAGCTCCGAGAACTGAACCGACTTGATGAAGCGGTTGAGCGTATCTTTTTGGAGCGTCTTCATTGCGTCTTGGATCGCGACGTCGAAGAGTTTGCCCTTGAACTTTGTGATCTTGTCCATGCGCTCGATCGTGATTTGCCGGTCCTCGCTCGGGAGACTCACTTCGTTGGGCGAGTTGCGCGAGAGAAAGTCTTTCCAGATCGTGGCCGCCATCGCGCCGCATTTCTTGACGTCTTCTTCGTCGTCAAAGTTGAGCAGCTCGCATCGGTCCTTGTACTTGTCGACGGCCATGACAAAGTTCAAGTTCTCGGCGCAGAGGTTCTTTTGGCAAAAGTCGAGGAGGTACCCGACCGCGATCGGATTCGTTGTCACGTCATCGATCGTGATGTCGCGCTTCGTCAGGAGCGCGTCGTTGTTGATGCCCTTCTTGCCCCGGGCAGAGTTGAGTGCCGCCATCTCCGAGGCCGATTCCAAAGTGCGTCGCGGTCGGTTTTGTCGGCTGTATTTTTACACGCCGCTCGAAATAGAGCCAATCAGCGGGCTGCGTTGGGATCCCGCGTCCGTTCAACGCCAAGATGGCGCCACGTATATCGTTGACTTCAAGCCACCACACGGATGCGACGCGATGCTTCCTGTACAAGGCAAGACCTTTGGCCATCGCGCTCGAGGTACTAGAGTATTTTACTAGACGAGGGTAGGCACGAAAATACGTTCGACGCCGACTGCAGCGACTACCGCGACGCTATGTTACTCAAATTCGACTCGGGATACCTTTGTGGTTTGCGCGAAATATGCGCTGTTGTGTGCTTGGAACCGAAAGCAAGCACCCATCTATATTCCCTACTTGCGAGGTTGCCAACGTCCCATGAGGCGGCTGAACAATCTCAATCTTTTCGCGCCAAGATTTTATCGTTTGGCGCACACGCCGTTTCTCAAAGTAATCGTTTCACAAGTGCCCTTTCAGCCAACATCGCGGGAAACCCTCATGGGCTGCACTATGTGCACGATGGTGAGTTCGGTGGCCGAGCCGCCGATGGTGACCTCCGAGCGCAGCACCAGGACCGTTGTCACTGGCTTCACCGAGGGCGTTGTCGAGATGATGCTCCGCGAGCGCCGCCACGGCATCTCGGACGACAGTATCGCAGAGTGCGACGGGGACGACCTCCGCGTTCGCGAAGGCGACGAAGATAATGACGAGGATGAGGATGATGGTTTTGCCATTCTTCTCATCGAGGATGACATGACACTCGTCCTCGACGTCCTCCGGTCCAACGTGCTCTTCTCATGCCTCGAGACCACGCAGCTCGAGGCGCTCGCCAACTCGATGCAAACCGTCGGCTTCGGCGTTGGCGACGTCGTCTACAGCCAAAACGACGTTGGCGACACATTCTACATCATCAAGCAAGGTACACAACTGCACATCGGACACCTTTTTGCTTCATTATCGTGTTATGTCTAGGCAAATTTGATGTGTTTCGAGACGGCGAACACGTTCGAACGCTTCTGAGCGGCCAGAGCTTTGGGGAGCTCGGGCTCTTGTACAAGTGTGCTCGCACAGAGACGATCCATGCACGCGACTACGGCACCGTCTTTTGCCTGCGCGTACGTCGCGTCTGTTCTCAGGGCGTACTGAGGGGCTCGCCTAGGCCCGAACATTTCGTGCCATTGTGGCGCAGCACGCTCTCGGGACCCTGGCGACGTCCAAGGAAGCGCTCACCAAAGTGCCTCTGTGCGTTGCGACTGTAGGCCCTTGACCATTGACTGACATTGCGGTAGGCTTCAAAGCCTCACGGAGCAGCAGTTTGAGACAGTGGCCGATGCTGTGCACACATTGCACTTTCACCAAGGTGCGTGGCAGCAGACTCTGTACCAAGACGACACGTATGCCCACACAGGGGACGTTATCGTGCGCAAGGGCGAGCCAGGAAACATTTTGTATATGATTCAAACCGGCACGGTACACAAATCTCACGTCAAGGCATCGGTGTGAGCTCAGTGCGACGTAGGTCGTCTGCACCGACATCGGGGCCGGAGCGCTCGACGACGTTGAGCTGGATGAGGGCAACTATTTCGGCGAGCGCGCCCTCATCACCGACGAGCCTCGCGCCGCAACCGTGTTGGCCAAGACGGACGTGACTGTCATGGCCTTGAGCCGCGAGGTCTTTACGCAAGTGCTCGGGCCGCTCCAAGACCTCATCACGTAAGCATACAACAGTCTCGTCCAATTATAACGCGATGTAGCTACAACCTCAAGATGCGCGCCGTGCAGAGCGTGCCGCTACTCAAAGAGTATTCGGACGCGGAAAAGGGCGAGCTCTTGGAGAAAACCCCAGTCCGGACGTTTGCGAGTGGCGACGTCATCTTACGTCAAGGGGACGTCGGCGACGAATTTTACATTCTCGTGAGCGGCAGCGTGGACGTGACACAAACGATCGAGAAGGAGCCGCCCGTGCACGTGGCGTCGCTCTCAACGGGCGACTACTTTGGCGAGACGGTAAGAAGATGGTGTCTTTTTCGCATAACCTTCGCACTAGGCGGTGCTTCAAGACGAATCCGCGATGCGCAATGCCACGATCACATGCACTTCTGCTGTCGAGTGTCTCGTGCTCAGTCGGGACCTCTTCCACTCGGTGCTCGCGCCCGTTCGGTTTCAGCTAAGCCAGCAGATCGACGTACGCAAACAAACAAGCCTCGACCGTATTTTCGCCGCGAGCATCACCAAGAAATCGCTCAAGCGCGCCAAAGTCCTCGGCATCGGGTCCTTTGGGCTTGTGTACATTGCTCAACACGAGCCATCGGGCCGGTACGCCATTTTCCTCCTACCTGCGTCCACAGAATCATGTAGATTCGTCGCGGTCAAGGAGATGTGCAAGGCACGGCTGGAGAAGGCGCGGCAAATGGCGCACGTGACGTCCGAGAAGCAGCTCCTTAGCTCACTCACGCACCCGTTCATCCTCAAGTACTACACGGCGCTCAACGAATCGAAAAAAGTGTACATCGTCACCGAGGCGCTTCTCGGCGGCGAGCTCTTCCAGCGCATAGTCAACCCCGCGGGCGTCCCGACGCCATTGCCCATGGCCAGCGCTCGCTTCTATGCCGCCTGTGTTGTCCGCGCGCTCCAGTACCTCCACAGCCGTAGCGTCGCCTACCGCGACCTCAAGCCCGAAAACATGTAGCACCTTGGCCTACATATGGACAGTGATTGACGCACACGAGTAGCTTGCTCGACGGACTCGGCTACGCCAAGCTCGTGGACTTTGGCTTTGCCAAGAAACTGCTCCAAAAGACGTATACGCTCTGTGGCACGCCCGAATACCTCGCGCCCGAGATCGTCACCGGTGTCGGTCACGGCATGTCTGTCGACAACTGGGCGCTCGGCATTCTCATCTACGAGATGGTACGCGCTGGTTTCAGTTTCTGGAAAGTGATTAAAATGTATTCATTAGGTTGTCGGTGATTCGCCGTTCGCCGACAGCCGCGACGACCACCTCGCAATCTGCCGCGCGATCCTTTCGGGTCATGTTACGTTCAAGCCCGACGCGGACCCGGACTGGAAGAGTCTCGTGGAAGCGCTGCTTGTGCGCGACCCGACCAAGCGACTGAGTTGCTTTGCACGTGGCAGCACGGTCGAGCAGCACGCCTGGCTCCACGGCGTCGAGTGGGATAAGCTCCTCGCGCAGCAGGTGGAGGCGCCATGGAAGCCCGAGATCCGCGCCGACGACGACGCGCACTGCTTCTCTGAGGTCAACGAGAGCGAGCTCGACGCGCTCAAGGAGTGGGACCGCGTCGCGCCGGAGAAAGACTGGAGCGAGTTCTAAACGGGCTTGTCTATGCCGTGGCAGTGTCTAGCGACACGCAACTTGAACCGCTGCTGAAATATTCCCGCCATTCGCACCGCCAATTGTCGTATCAACAAATGCAAAATGCTGTTGTAGTCACAGTACCGTGCGCATGAGGTTTGTTTGGTTGTTGCCTGCAAGCCTACGTGGGTTTTTTCGTCGCTGGAATCTCCAAGCTGTGAATGGAAGAAGATTGCAGGATGCTCGGTGCTCAAGGTTGCCAAGCGGTTTCTGACCAAGCGTGCTGATGCCAGAAATGTATCTGTCTGGTTTAGCTACACACAGCAACGTGAAGGCACGTCGTGTTCTGCCA